AGTATATATATCCAGGGGTCTGGGAGTCCCGGTGGATGGCAGGCTCTCTATGAGCCAGCAATGTGCCCTTGTTGCTAAGCGGGTCAAATAGGGAAGAGTGTGGCCAGCAAGTCGGGGGAGGTCATTCTCCCCCTCTGCTCTGCACTGGTGAGGCCACAACTGGAATACTGCGTCCAGTTCTGGGCTCCCCTGCTCAAGAGACAGGGAACTACTGGAGAGTCCAATTTAGAGCAACCAAGATGATTAAGGGATTGGAGCACCTCCCTTACGAGAAAAGGCTTAAAGAGCTGGGGCTCTTCAGCCTCGAGAAGAGAACCCTGAGGAGAGACCTTATCTATGTTTACAAGTACTAAATGGTAGGTTAAAGGATGATGAAGCTGGACTCTTTTCAGTGGTTCCCAGTGATAGGATGAGGGGCAACGGGCACAAGCTGGAACACAGGAAGCTCCACTCAAATATGAGGAAGAACTTCTTTACGGTGAGGGTGACAGACCCTGGAACAGGCTGCTCAGGGAGGTCACGGAGTCCCCTTCTCTGGAGATTTTCAAGACCCGCCTGGATGCAGTCCTGAGTGATGTGCTCTGGGCAATCCTGCTTTAGCAGGGGAGTTGGGCTAGATGATCTCTAGAGGTCCCTTCCAACTGACAATTCCATGAATATTGAATGAGTAAATTGTCAAGGCTAAAAATTGCTTTAAAGCAAAATTTGTATTGAGGGAATATATAAAGAACATGAATTAACATTACGATGCTATTAACAAATAAAAAAAAGTTAATGTTTGCATTTAATTTCATTAATTACTACGTTCTGAAACGTTAATGAAGCGCATTGACAGCTCTTTTATTGTGCATGTATTGGCTCTTAAAAGAGCCTTTGGGTTTAGCGGTAACAGGGCAGCGTCGGGAGCCTCAGGCGCGCTCGCCGCGGATGCGTCGGGCCAGCTGGATGTCCTTGGGCATGATGGTGACGCGCTTGGCGTGGATGGCGCAGAGGTTGGTGTCCTCGAAGAGCCCCACCAGGTAGGCCTCGCTGGCCTCCTGCAGCGCCATGACGGCCGAGCTCTGGAAGCGCAGGTCGGTCTTGAAGTCCTGCGCGATCTCGCGCACCAGGCGCTGGAAGGGCAGTTTGCGGATCAGCAGCTCCGTCGACTTCTGGTAGCGCCGGATCTCGCGCAGCGCCACCGTGCCGGGCCGGTAGCGGTGCGGCTTCTTCACGCCGCCCGTGGCCGGCGCGCTCTTGCGGGCCGCCTTGGTGGCCAGCTGCTTGCGGGGCGCCTTCCCGCCCGTCGACTTACGCGCCGTCTGCTTCGTGCGCGCCATCGCTACTTCTACCCCTGCGTCCCGCTAAAAGGGCAACGCAGCTCCTCTTACGGCTCTTATTTATAGCGAGGGACGCCCCGCCTTCCCGTCTCTGATTGGTCGAAAAAGTGAAGGATTTAATTGGTTAATTCCAACCACCCTGTGAGCGCGGCGGGAGCTGAAGCCGCCCCAGCCCTTCCCAAAGGATGCAGTCGCCTTTTTTCGTCTTTTTTTTTGTCTTTTTTTTTGTTTTTTTTTTTTTTTTTTTTTCCCCTCAGAGGAACCGGAAGACTTCTTAAAACTTTTGGTTTTCTCTGGCTTCTACTAATATTTCTTTTTTTTTTTTTTCTCCTGAGTTGTTTATGACTCTCGACTACGGTTGACGAGTCTATGTTTTAACCACGTTATGGGATAAACTACGTGACCGTGGTTGTTAAAAGAAGCACGTTAACAAACTTTTTGTTGTTGTTTCGAATTGAAAATAAAGCTTTCTATTGTTCCTGAAGTACTTCTCTGAAGTATCTAGAAGGACGAAAATTAAGTAAGAAGCTCTCTGCATGCTTACCACTTATTTAAAAAAAAAATTAAAAAATATTTTTAGTAAACGTAAAAAAAAAAATTTCTACCTAAAATCTTTTGCGGATAGTATGAGACTGGTCAACTCTACGAAGGCCGCAAGTAATAAAAGCGAATCGTTAAAAAGGTGGAAAGTTTCCGAAAAAAAAAAGGAACGCGAAAAGAGTGAATCTGTGATTTCATTATTAAAGATCAGAGTTCGGCACAGAGGGGGTTAACGCGGGATTTTCAAATTGGCCCAATGAGCTCGGCCGTTCCATCAGCCAATCAAAAGCAGAGCTCGGATATAAAAACGAGTCGCTGCCGCTGGCGTTTAACGCTTCTTACTTCTTTGTTCCTGAGGTTGCATTTTCGCGGCAGATCTGTGTAGCGATGGCGCGCACGAAGCAGACGGCGCGTAAGTCGACGGGCGGGAAGGCGCCCCGCAAGCAGCTGGCCACCAAGGCGGCCCGCAAGAGCGCGCCGGCCACGGGCGGCGTGAAGAAGCCGCACCGCTACCGGCCCGGCACGGTGGCGCTGCGCGAGATCCGGCGCTACCAGAAGTCGACGGAGCTGCTGATCCGCAAACTGCCCTTCCAGCGCCTGGTGCGCGAGATCGCGCAGGACTTCAAGACCGACCTGCGCTTCCAGAGCTCGGCCGTCATGGCGCTGCAGGAGGCCAGCGAGGCCTACCTGGTGGGGCTCTTCGAGGACACCAACCTCTGCGCCATCCACGCCAAGCGCGTCACCATCATGCCCAAGGACATCCAGCTGGCCCGACGCATCCGCGGCGAGCGCGCCTGAGGCTCCCGACGCTGCCCTGTTACCGCTAAACCCAAAGGCTCTTTTAAGAGCCACCACTTGGCCACTAAAGAGAGCTGTGTTTGCGTTTCGGGGCGGACGTGGGCGGCCGGTGCCGAGCGCTGCTGTCCGTGCTCCAGGGGGTGTGCCTGTGCTGGGATAACGGGGGGAGGCTGGGGCAGCCGGTGAGGTGGGACCCCCACCCCCGCCCCGTCTTCCCGCGGCCCGCGTGTGCAGGCAGTTCCGGGTCTCTGATGTTCCCCGTTTCAAGCTGCTGGCGCGGGGCGGGAGGAATGCGGTCGAGAGCGGGGAAGGGGCCGCCTTTCAGCGGGGGATGGAGGAGGGGAGTAAGGGAGGGCGTTTTTTGTCCGAGGGCTCGGCAGCCTCTTCTCGCTGCACCCCCCGAGGCTCGTTCCTCATTCCTGCGCGCGGGCTCTGTCCCGCCCCCGGTGGCCGAGGGGAGGGCGCCGCCATTTCATGAACCTCCCGTTGGCGCGCGCCGTTCCGAAGCTGGTTACCGGGGAGCGGCTCTCGCTATAGCGTTTACCCCGGCATCGCGGATTTCTTGCCCGCTCTTGCCTTCTGTTCCCACTGCGAAGCGGGACCGGGAAAGGGGGACGAAGAGGGGAAGGAGGAGAATGGAGAAAGGAGCAGGAGATGGGAGAGGGACGAAGACAAGCGTCTTTCATAACCCAAACGCGTTTCTCTCGAGCCCGGGGCAGGCCCACGAGTAGATCCCCCCTGGTATTTCGCCCAGACGGCGCAACCGAGACATTCTATCACTTTTAGAGGTTGCCTGTTGCTTCAGGAAGGGCCAGGGGAAAGAATCTCGGCAGCGGGGGTGCCCGCCCCCCTCCGCCGGCTTTATCGCCCCCAAGAAAACAACGCACACACCCGTACAGTAATCAAAGCTCTTTTCTGGAAAACGTGGGTGGCTCTGAAAAGAGCCTTTGTGTTCTAAAATCGTGCCCCATCCATCCCAGGAATCGAATTTAGCCGCCGAAACCGTAGAGGGTGCGTCCCTGTCGCTTGAGGGCGTAGACCACGTCCATGGCCGTCACCGTCTTCCTCTTGGCGTGCTCGGTGTAGGTGACGGCGTCGCGGATCACGTTCTCCAGGAAGACCTTGAGGACGCCGCGCGTCTCCTCGTAGATCAGCCCCGAGATGCGCTTGACGCCGCCGCGCCGAGCCAGGCGGCGGATGGCCGGCTTGGTGATGCCCTGGATGTTGTCGCGCAGCACCTTGCGGTGGCGCTTGGCGCCCCCCTTGCCCAGCCCCTTCCCGCCCTTGCCTCTGCCAGACATGCTCTCGCTCTACGTCGCTTCAGCGCCGTGTGGCGGGACGGCCGCCCGGCGCCGGCTATATAGCCGGCGGTCCGACCTGGTTGAGGACTGCGACGGGGCAGGGCAAGGGCGGGCTCTGCTCCGCGCCTTTCCCCCTGCGGGCAGCGACCGACAGGGGGTGGGGGGAGCGGCCCCGTCCCGGCCGCGGCCCCGACCCCGCTGCTGGCGGGGGGGGCTGGGCGCAGGAGGAGCGGCTCCCCGGGAGGGGGACTCACTCCCGCCCCTCCCGCGCGCCGCCGCCGCCGCCATTTCGCGGCGCTGGCACAAAGGGCCGGTCCCGGGGTGGGAGTGGGGGAGCCGGGCGGGTGCGGGGGTTTCGGTGCGGGGTTAATTCCAGCGTTCTGTGCGGAGCGCTGGGCAGAGCTGTTCATTTATAAATGTGCTGGTTTTTGGAGGCGGCCCGTTCTCGTGTTTTCAGGCGGGTGTCGGTTTCTTGCCCCAGGTCTCCCGACTGCCTGAGCGCGTGCCGCCTTTGTGCGTTTGTGGGACTGAGGTGCCTGTGTAAGGAACTGATTTGATTAATTTGTTAATGTACCCATGAAAAAAAAAAAATCTAGCTTGCTTCAGGTGGTTTTTAATGTTTGGCACGTGTTTCTCATTTTCGTGGTCTTACTCTTTTTGATACATAATATCTCCAAGTACTCCTTTTGCTGTTTTTTTTTTTTTTTCACTTCACATAGTGTTACTTTATTGGACACAAAATGTAACATTTATATAAATTGTAGTTCCACATCGGCTCACACAGGGAAGAAAACATCCGTTTACTGACTTGCTTCCCCTTAATCCTCTTTAGGATTCTCAAGTTTCCAGACGTCATTTTAGTTCAGGAAATGCATGCTGACTTTCTGTTTTCTCCCTTTATCCTTTGCTTTCATCCTGTGACTTTTTTGGAACATTTTTTTTATGCTGTAGAAATGTACCTATATATTTACTGTTTCTCTAATTGGTTCTAAGTCTTCAGCCGATAGTCACAGCCAGCGTTTTACAATGCCAGAAAACTTGCAGCTATCAATGGCAAACTATGCAGCATGTAATACAGTTATGTTTCATGTTTCGGTCTTGATGTTGAAAAGTACTGTAGTACTGTAGCATGTTGAAATATACTGTAGCTACCATAATCCTAAAGCCAGAGTTCTCACACTTGATTTTTAGAAGCATCCCGCACTTTACAGATTTTCCAAAATAATCAGAACCTCTAGACAGCTGTGCTTCATCCTCGATGTATTTGTATTAACTCCTAATTATATGTGCTATGATCTAGCTGTTCTGTAACTTCTCACAGGAGTTCCCCCTGGTTCTTTTCTCTGTTTGACCACAGTGGAATACACCAGACTAAAATTAAATAATGTCCAGAAACCAATCTAAATCTCTAACATTTATCCTACTACTCTTAAAAGTCTATCTTTGTGTCTCTGCTTCTTTGTTTTGGTTAATGTTTTCTGGCTTTTTTTCTTTCTTTCTTTTCTTTATTTTTTTTTCTTTTCAGGAGCTTTTGACATTGCCAAGGTGTATTCTGCAAGCCCAAGATAATGCACAGGTGTCTGACTTCCCTTCATCAGATAAGTGATGCTCTAGCATTTCCGGTTGAAGAGGCTGCAGAAGGTGGGATACTGCAGAAGGGCAAGATACTGCTCAAAATCTCCATTTTTTCCCTTGAAGCCCATTTAGGTGATAGGGCCAGACAGAAATGGATTGTCTTTCTGGCTTCAGATTTTAGAATAAGAAAGGACATTTTCCAGAAATATCTATGCAGAGTTCTCCCAGGAACTGTCATAGCAAAACACAAACAGCAGATTTACTTTTATGTCTTCCCATTGCTTCCTAGAAACTTCCAGCTGGAGCAGTTACCTGAACAGGAGAAAGCTCGCAGCCTGTAGCACAATGGGTTCACCCGGAGGAAATGCCCCAATCGGGGGAAAAAACAGAGTGCCACAGTTCATACTGTTTGGTAACGTGCAATAGGCTGGTGACTCCTTCAAAGTCTGATGTCCTTGAGTTGTTCTGGAGCTGTTCTTGAAGCCTTTTCTGTGTTCCCTCCCATCAGACTTGGGTTTCGTGACTCTAAAGGATTCTTTCTTTTGGATGCTCCAAAGCCTTGCTCAGACACTGTAAACTCCATTGTTATTGAAGTGGGGTGGATGATGAGTGACTGAATGTTAACAAGTTCATGTCTATTTCCTTTAGGGAACATGTGAGGCTTTTTTAGAGTATTGAGAGAGATATGAATGTCTAGATTTCTTTTGCATATACCTTGTCTAAACAGCCATTATACTCAACTCTTCTGTCATCATTCATAAGGTTTCCACAATCAGTTCTTTCCAAGAACTTGAGTTCCCTTTATAAACATCTTCTAACCCTCTCCCTACTTCCCTTCTCAATTATTTTGCCTTCAGCACTCCCCAGTTTTACCTCCTTGTGAAGTGGCAGCATATGAAACCACACTGCACCAGGAATGTCTGGCCTTCGGTTTATTATTCAGCTGTTGGTTTGGGGGTGTATTTTGTTTGGGTTTTTTTTTTTGTTTTGTTTTAACAGATTATTTAGCTGGAAGGCTAAAACCAAGCAGTAGTTGTTCAGTTCATAGTAGCCACCTTACCTCAATGGAGGCTCTAACCTGGGTTTCTTTCTAATCCACAGCTGATCTTTACAAAACTTGTTGGAATTGAGAATCTCTGAGACCTGAATCAACTGCCATTTCTGTTGGAACTGATCCGTAGGCTTCAAAGGATTAACATGGGGAAAAGAGAGATTTGCAGAAGCTGGGTTTGTTTCTCGGGGGGAGATTCTTTTTTTTAATGTCTCTACTTTCCAGATCCGTGCAATTTGCATTGCTGAGATTGCCCTGTGTTTTTCTGCTTTTTGTCTTTCAGAGCAGCATAACAAGAGCAATAGCCTCCATTTGCTATTGTGGAGACAAAAATGGAGATTCTACACCATGCTGTCACAGAAGAGCATGTCAAGTCATGGGCTTTCACAGGTGTTCAGGAGAGAACTCCAGTTACCAGAGAGAGGTGGTCTCAGTGAACTGTTTGTGCCAAAGTCATCAGGTTCACAGCGTGAGGAGTGAAGCGTTTAGAGATTGGCCACTCTGGCTCCCTTCTTGCTTTGCTGAAAAAGAGAGAACTATTTTTGTTCTCTTCAAAAGACAGATACAACTCCCTCCTGCCTCACCAGATTTTCTCCAAGCTGATCGAGCTGCTAAAGGCAGCTGTGGGGAGATGGATGAGCACCCACCACATCCCTGTTCCTGATAAGGGAGCTGGAGGAGCTTAACACGAGACTGGAGAGCTGCAGCGGCACAGAGACAGCGTGAAGCTGCTCTCCTCAACATGGGTGGCTGCTTTTGTCCCCCTAATTTTGGTGCTGAGCACAGCAAAAGCACTTGCAAACTTTACTCACTGGGAAGGAGAAAGGTCCCACTCTTTCCTCATCTGGCTCCCTTTCTTCAGACAGCACTATTTTGGACACAGGCTGGAAATCTTTGTGAATCCAGAGTTCTGCCCAGCAAGGTAAAAGGAAAAAAAGCAGAAGCAAATCCAGCCCAGTAGGTGATTAATCTTTTTATTGCTTGCCCAGAATCTGTCACTGTCCTTACAAATCTCCTTGAACAATTAGTGTTGTTGTGATTTTAGCAGTCTTGCTCAACTTCAGTGACATTTACCCACAACAGATAGGCCTCTTGTATGGGCCCAGGCCATCCATCATCTCCTCTGATGCCAACAAAGTCTAGACTTTAAATGGCCCTTAAGGGTTCCAAATGGAAATAGCACCATTATAGCACTGTCTATTGATACCAAGTTTTCCAGTCCTAGCATCATTCGACCAAAAATTAACTTGATCCCTTTAAAAGTGGATCATGGCACTCTCATTTACCAGTGAATGAATTTATAATTGTAATTTATAATGTGGCGAAAGAGAATTCTAATTTTAAAAAACTCCACGATTACTCATTTTCTAAACATACAGGTTAATACTCTATTAAAGAACACTTCTCCTATCATGTATTAAAAAAAAAAAACCAAAACAAACACCAAAAAAACCCCAAAAAACAAAGCCAACACCCTGAGTCAGAATTCTTATGCCATTAAACATGTTAGACTGTTTAAAAAATGGTATTTTCTTCTTGAAAAACTAAGTCAAATTAACAAGAAAACAGCCAGACCTTAAGACCATCTTTATTACCAGGAATATCTTGCTTTGACTTAAATTCATCCAATATTTATTACATCCCCAAAGCAGTCCACATTCTCTCCAGTTACACATTAAATCAGAACTTCCATCTCATTTAAAGTCCTGAAAAACAAGACACATTCTGTGAGCCAGAATTATCTCAAACACAATTCTAACAAAGCTCGGTATTCCAGAACATCTATATCTTTTTTCGGTTAGATTTTCTCCCTTTTTACCCTTTTTATAGGTAACGTGTTGCTGTTTCAGAGGCTATTACATGCTGTATTCATTTCCTTTTTGAAGGAAAAAAAAATAAGAGTAGCAAAACCCCTTGCAATTTTATCTTTTTTCCCTTTTTTTTTCCCGTAGAAATTGCCGATAACGACACTTTGTAGTTCCAGGTCCGCCCAAGGGGCGGGAGACACCGAGGCCCGGATGCTGCGGGTGCCCCCGGGTGCGGGGCGAGGCCGGGCAGGAGGGGCCGAGCTTCGCTACCGAACCGTGCGATTGAAAGGGCTCGTTGTGATTGGCTGGTGGCGTTCCAATTATTAACCAATGCCAGCGTGGGATTTGAAACGGACCAATTCCCAAGCCGTTCGCACGAGACCTGACGTCAGTGTCTCTCTTAGCCAATGGAAGCGCTGCTCGCGGAGGCCATAAATTTGCATAAGGCCCCTATAAATAGGGGAGTAATCGCACTAACGGGTACTCCGGTGCTGCTCCGCCACCCGAGAGTTGTTGCCATGCCCGAGCCGGCCAAGTCCGCCCCCGCGCCCAAGAAGGGCTCCAAGAAGGCCGTCACCAAGACGCAGAAGAAGGGCGACAAGAAGCGCAAGAAGAGCCGCAAGGAGAGCTACTCCATCTACGTGTACAAGGTGCTGAAGCAGGTGCACCCCGACACGGGCATCTCGTCCAAGGCCATGGGCATCATGAACTCCTTCGTCAACGACATCTTCGAGCGCATCGCCGGCGAGGCCTCGCGCCTGGCGCACTACAACAAGCGCTCCACCATCACCTCGCGGGAGATCCAGACGGCCGTGCGGCTCCTGCTGCCCGGCGAGCTGGCCAAGCACGCCGTCTCCGAGGGCACCAAGGCCGTCACCAAGTACACCAGCTCCAAGTAGAGCGGCTCCAGCTCCGGTTTCAACCCACCAACCCAAAGGCTCTTTTAAGAGCCACCAATTTTTTCACATAGAAGGGCTGAATTACTGTTTTTTCTTAAAAGGTACGTGCGTAGCTTTTTTTTATCGGTACATTGCACTCGAGTTGAATACTTGTGTCTTCAGCTGAAATGCAGTCACTGATGTTGAGGGCTCCCATTTAAAATACTTGTCTGTTTAGGTAGCTGAAATGCAGTCACTGATCTGGAGAGCTCCCATTTAACAGCCTGTACTCGGCATATAGTTATACCTAATTTAAAACTCATTTCTGAGTACGTGCTGTTAGCTCTGGACTTAAATATGGTTAAAAAAGAGCGGCAACCCGGTCCTTTCCGTTTCCCCAGCTCTGTGTTTTCAGAACTTGGAAGTCCCTACAGGGGTAAGTCAAGTCACCTTATATTTTTCTAATGGTTTTAATGTCTTTTACTTGATAACTCCGGAAGAAAATCCTGCCTGCGATTAAGAAGTTGCTTTCTGTGTCCTTATACCTGTAAAATAAATTTATTTCTTCTTATTTAGGCGACTAATAAACATTTTGTAAGCAGTTCTTGAGGCGAGCCTTCCAGTCGGGGCTCGTAGCTTGGTTTCTGATTTTTTTTTCCGTCCGTTCCAGCGCGGCGCTTTGCCCCCCCCCGCGACACTTGGTGCCTTTTCCTCAGTGAAGCAGCTCTTTCTAATCCATTGAAAATAAGGGAAAGATTTTTTTTTTTTCACCAAAAGATTTTCCAGCTTTAAAATACTAAGGACCGAGGCTGTACAAGGGTGGATTGATATAAAATAAAATAAAGACGTGCAGGGCGCCCGGGGAGGGGATGTGGGGGGAGTATTGGAGCTCTTCCTGTCCCGCCGCTCCAGATCG